AGAAATCGAATATTCAAGCTGTTTATTAATTTTTCCACCCATGAAGGAAAAACGAAAATTTAAGCTGAATTCTCGGTTTTCGTTTTTTTGGAAAAAAACGAAAAAGGAGCCGTTTTCTCATTTTTCTACTTTCAATATTAAATCAAAAAACGAATGATACACTGATTCACCCCCTTCAATCCGATCGAAATTTCATTCCGATCGATTAAGGTGTTTACATGAAGGTTTTTCAGTTCGATTGAGCCGTCAATCCGATTACAAATGGATTATTTGGTTTCATGTAAACATAGATACTGGTAACAAATTGCAAACTTTAGCCATTGAATTTTATGTGCATCTATGGTTCAGATAACAACTGTTCTCCCATATTTTGACGTATATTTGAGTGAAACGGCTTATCGAAAAAACTTAATATACACTTGATTCTAGCACTAAATTGGTTGCTGATTGGATGAAGGTAGAAAACTATGCATGGATGATCTGTTCACAATTAGATCAATAATATACATTTACAAAATAGATAAGGTTACTGTTATTATGATTTTCATTTGAACAGTAAAGTCGTCATTCTGACCATTCATTGTAAGATAGTATTTTATAAAAATAAAAAAAAATAGAATGTCTAAGAGTACGTTTACACAACAGTTGTGTAATAAAAATTAAAAAGTTTGACAGATGAAACAATCGACATTCACATAGATCCATGAAAACAAATAAAAACACTGTATTATCCATGCCAGGCAAGTAGTTGGCGATGGCTCTTTGTAAAGAAACTAGACATGCCTGCACAAATACCTAGAGACACGTAATATGCATAACATCACCTTTTTCACAAATTTTGGTTTTTATAGTTCACACAGAGACGATAATAGTGTCGTTTTCAAAAACTTGCACTTTGAAACCCATTTTTAAAAGTTTGCATTTTCAGGCTCTGAAAACATCGTTGTTTAAATGAACAGCCAAAACCCATATTTTCTGTTTTTAGTTGAAAAAAGTATTGTGCAAACGCCCCCTGAGACTAAATTTACTAATTTTTAGTAAAACTTCAGTTGGTACCAATGACTAATGGAAATGATAAAACAGCTTGCCATACATCCC